GAGCAGCACTCCCCCTGTGGGAGCGCATTGACCACCAGGGGGCAGCTCCTGCATTGAGCATCTGCCCCCTGGTGGTCAGTGCACATCGTAGTGACCTGTCATTCCGCTATTCGGTCAATTTGCATATTAGGCTTTTATTATATAGGATTCTCTATATATTTCTGTATATTTATACTTTTCATAATAATTATAAAAAGTATTTTTAATACCTAGCATTTGTGAGGGTTTGAGGAAATGACCATTCCATACATATTGTTGGTTGGATTGAAATTTGGTATAAGCTTTAGAGAGGACAATTTAGAATATATAAATTTTGTTTTAAAATATACATATCCTTTGTCATAGTAATCCCATCAGTAAGAATGTATTCAATGAGTCATGACACAAGCATAGAGGATGTATCTACTAGTACTAGTATGAGAAGTTTATTATAGCATTATTAACAATATAAACAAATCTGAGACAAGGAAAATGGTTGAATACATTTTGACAATATAGTACATATTATCTGTGACAAAGAATACCATGTCACTGTTAAAAAGAACAAAGTAGGTGCATAGTTACTGTATTGGTTTGCTATTACTGCCATAAGAAAGTATCACAGACTGGGTGGGTAACTTCCAGTGGTCACCAACCTTTCGGACCTCACAGACCACTGGTTAGCAACTGCTGGAAACAACTGAAATTTATTTTCTCATGGTTCTGGAAGCTAGAATTCTGAGACAAGTACTTCATGCCATTCCCTTCTGGCCTGTACAGTTTCTGATGAGAAATTTGGTGTCAGCCTTATGAGAGCTCCTTTTAGGTAACAGTTTGCTTTTCTCTTGCTCCCTTTAAGATTCTCTTTTTGTCTTTAATTTTTGGCATTTTAATTATGATGTGTTTGGGCATGGGCCTGTTTGGATTCTTCTTGCTTGGGGTTCTCTGTGCCTCTTGAATTTGTGTGACTTTTTCCTTTACCAGGTTAGGGAAGTTTTCTGCCATTATTTCTTCAAACAGATGCTCTATCTCTTTCTCCCTTTCTGCCTCTTCTGGAACAGCTGCTATTCTAATTCTGTTACGTTTCACATTGTCCCACAGCTTCCTTAAGCTGTCCTCCTGGTTTTTAAATTGTTTTTTCTTTTTGGTTGTCTTGTTGAGTGATTTTTTTCAGCCCTGTCTTCTAATTCACTGATTCGATCCTCAGCTTCCCCTAATCTTCTGTGTATTCCTTTCAATGTGTTTTTTATTTGTGCTATGTCATTCTTTATTTTCTACTGTTCTTTTTTCATAGTTACTATATCTTTTCTCATGCTGTTGAGCATCTTTACCATCATTACACTGAACTCTGCTTCATATAAATTTCTTTTTTAAAATATATTTTTATTAATTTCAGAGAGGAACAGAGAGGGAGAGAGAGATAGAAACATCAATGATGAGAGAGAATCATTGACTGGCTGCCTCCTGCACAACCCCCACTGGAGATCGAGCCTATAACCTTAGCATGTGCCCTTGACTGGAATCGAATCCGGGACCCCCTAGTCCACAGGCCAACAGTCTATCCATTAAGCCAAACTGGCCAGGGCCATATAAATTTCTTATCTCTGCTTCCTTTATCTCTTCTTCTGAAGAATTCTCTTGTTCTTTCATTTGGGGGTTGTTTTTTTGTCTTCTCATTTTGGCTGTCTGTTTAGGTTTGTATTAGGTAGGCCCTCTATGCATCTCAATTTCTAGTGCAGGACAGTATCAGTGTTTCTGACTAATTAGATCAGGCAAAGACTCAAAGCCTCCAGAGACTGATTCTGCCTACTGACTGATAGGATTCCAACTTGAATTGTCCCCAGGTATTCATTCTCAGGAGTGAGAGTGTTTTTCAACAGGGTGGGGCAGTTACTTCTGCCTGGAGGCTAATTGTTATTTTCAGTGTCTTACGTGGCCTAAGGGCAAGATGTTTCTCAATAGGGTGGGTCAACTGTCTTCCCCCCAGGAAAGGCAAATATCTATGTGGAAAACATCTCTTCTGCTATGTGAGGGAATGACTCAGCACAGGAAATGTGGGGGGTGTCTGCCTTCTGATCTCCAACCCCTGAGTCCCTAAACCTGGCTTCAGCTCACACAGCTCCAGTCCACTCTGCCCTTCCTCTGCCACAGCACAAGGTGGGTGGCTCCAGAGGGAAATTTTGTGTATTGGCCCTTTAAGAGGGTGCCTGAATTTCTAGTCATCACTCCCTGGCAGACAGCAACTCTGCTGTTTTTCACAGTTAGATGTTATGTGGGTATCCTTCTGAGTTCTGGTGCTCTCTGCTGGGGGGACCAGCTTGGGGATTAGATCCCAGAGTTCTCAGTGGCAACCCCCCACAGTTGAGATATCTCTCTGGGACCTCAGTTGCTGTCTGTGGGTGCCCAGCCAGTCCTTTTGCTCCTCTGGCCCTCCCACCAGTCTCTATGTGGTCTCCACTTTCAGTCCTCGGATATCAGGGTTCTCTCCAGCAAATCTTTCATTGATTATTCAGGAAGTTTTTCTGTATTTTAATTGTAATTCCATGTTTCTGGGAGCATGTCCGTGCAGCATCCACTTACTCTGCCACCATTTTTAATCTCCCCAAATTTCCTCTTCTTATAAGGTCACCAGACTTATTGGAATAGGAAACACACTAATGACCTTTTTAAAAATAATTTATTTCTTTAAAGATCCTATCTCCAAATACAGCCAACTTTTGAGGTACAGGGTGTTACGACTTCAACATGTAAAATTCAGGGGGACACAATTCAGCCCAATGGCAACATTTGCTGCCATTGAAAGATGTCCATGATTTTTAGGCTAAAAAAAAATCAAGGAGCAGAACAACATGTATGGTATGATCCCTTCTCCCCCCTTTTTAAATTACAAAAACAATCAAAACAAGCACCCTGGTACATGTTTACATGCAGTTTGGGGTATATTGAAAACATTCCAGAAAGATAGATATCCAATTATTAATAACAGTTCCCTGAGGAATAAAACTATGAAAGAAAGGGAGGGACAGATTTCTACTCTTTTTTTTTTTTTTTTACAAGCATGGGTTATTTTTGTACTTGGAAAATTGTAGCTTAAAAAAATATAGCTAGAATGTTGACGACCCCCCCCCCTCAAAAGTAAAATGTTATTCCTTGAAAATGTCCTTATTGAAATGGAGTTAGGGACTGGCATTCAACCCCAGGTAGATTCACAAAGAGAAAAAAATTGGAAGAAAAACAACTAAACACAACACCTTAGCACCATCTTAAACATTGGGGAGGGAGAGACACGGGATGGCCAAGATTGTCTTTGTCTGCCAGCTCAGAAGAATGAGGGGCTCAGGGTAAAAAAAATTGTTAGAAAATAAAGTTATATTTCTTGTGTGTCTGAGTTTTGAGAATCATGCAGTTATACACACTCTTCTCCTTTAATTCTCTTGTAATCCTATTGTTTTGATTTTACAGTTGAGTAAAGAGTTTTTAAATAGTTTTTACTGATTTCAGAGATGAAGGGAGAGGGGGAGATAGAAACATTAATGATGAGAGAGAGTAATCTCTTGGCTGCCTCCTGCATGCCCTCCTACTGGGGATTGAGCCTGTAACCCGGGCATGTGCCCTTGATGGGAATTGAACCTGGGACCCTTCAGTCCACAGGCCGATGCTCTGTCCACTGAGCCAAACCAGCCAGGGCGGAAAGAGCTTTTTAAGGTTAATTAAAAGGTCACATAACTAGTACTAGCAAAACTATAACTCACATTTGAGTCTCCCTCACCCTGAAGTATGTGCTAGCTAGCTACTACTCTCTGCTCCTTGGAATAGGTTTTGCCTCCTCCCTACCACCTGCATCCAATCTCTACTCCAAATCTTGCTAATTTAGGCAGCATCCCTTCCTCTGGGAAGGCACTATTGAGCACCCCTCCCCCCCAAGTTTAAGTGGCCCTCTCTATGCCTCCCTAAGTTCCCTGACCCCATCTGTATCACAGACAACGTGGAGTCTAAGGAACTCTCTGTATGATTTTTCACCTCTACCAGACTGTGAGCTCTTGAGGGAAGCAATTAAGTATCACCCCTGCCGGACACATTGTAGTAGGTGCTTTAGTTCTGCAACAGTAGAATATTATTTATATTTGATTGTTTCCTCACTAAACTCTGAACTTCATGAAGTTAAACAACACGTCTGGTTTTATGCACCATGAAATCACTGGAGCCTAAAACATTGCTTGGCACAGACTAGGCTTTCAATAAATATTTTTCAATACGTGAGTAATTCTATAAGTAGTCTCTCTTTACTGTGTCTGAGTCACACCCCGAGGGGGAAAAAATAGCAGCTTCCTGACATCCTTTTTCTTGTAATGATTTAGTATTTTACATGATTTCCACGCTTCAACATTTTAAAATTCGTCATTATTTTCCCGTTTTCATCCTCACACTCACATGGGACATGATCGCCACTATTTGAAAGAATAAGATTTTTCGTCTGCCTTACATTTATCCTATTCAAACTGCGAGCGATTCCTCTCAACCTCCCTCATGAGGCGAGTGGGAGTGGGACTTGGAGCTGAACAATTAACCTGCAATTTACCAGCTTGCTTTTCCCTGGGATAATTGCAAAGTTACACGTTCCTGGGCGTGACCCTCTCACGACAGAATCGCAACAAGTGGATTGATGACGTTTGACTACCACTAAAGATGTGGAATACTAGGAGGGTTAAAACAGTATGTGCTAGGCAAGGTTCTGATCTTTTAAAAAATATACGCTACAGGCTCTCATTAGAAGAACAAGAAAAATATGTTCCAAATTACTTTCCAGGCAATTTGCCTGGATTAACAGTCCCACAGACAAAGAGGAGGACCAAACGCTCTCTCCCACCGACGTCCGCGGCCTGAGCCCCTGCCCCTGTGGGCGGGGCCAACGGAGCCTCCCGCGCCCCCAAGGAGGAGGGGGCGGGGCCAGGGCCCGCGGAGCCTCCCGCGACCCCAGGAGAAGGGGGCGGGGCAGGCTTCCAGGGGCGGGGCCTCGCGGACGAGGGGCAGGCTGGGAAGCGCCGCCATGTTGGCGGCGTCCGCGCTGTATTGTCATAAATAGAGCCGGTTATGTAGTGTTTTCACTATTCGGTTGGCTGCCTCGGCCGTGGTGAGTGAGAGAGTGTGCGAGCGAGCGAGCGACAGGCGACCAGAGGAAAACCGACAAGAGGAGGGGAAGGAGCCAGAACGGGACTCCGGAGCGGGGGACACTCGCCGGTGAGGGAGGCGCAGGAAGCGATGAAAGAAACGTCTGCGTAAGTAGTTGGGGGGACGGCGGTTGGGGGTGAGGCGGCGAGGGGTGGGCTGAGGTGGTCGGCCCGGAACTCCGGGTGCTCTGCCGGG